TTAGGTTCCTGAACACCCAAGTTTCTGTCCCAGAGCTTCTGTACTTATTGTTCCATCTATCCCTCATTGATATTGACAACTTCACTCATCCTTCAACTTCAGCAGAAATGTTTTTCCAAGGAAGCCATGGGTAGACATTAAATAAGCCCATGATCTTCTTATTCCCACATAGCACCCCTTTTTATTTCTTTCCTGGCACTTCACATTTTGTGTAATACATACACATACACACTTCTTCCACCAACACATATATTTGTTTGTTTATCTAATGCTTGTGTCCCAATAACAATATGTGCTCTGAAGAGCAGGAACTATTATGTCTCTTTTGTTTACCAGTGTATGCAATACCTAACATTGTGCTTGACACATAGTGTGTGCTTCCTAAATATTTGCCCAATGAATGAATGCATGAATCTGAGAAATAAATATAGTAATATCTTAGGTATCTGGAATATCTATGGACAGGTTAAGTGTAAAAACTACATAGTATAACTTCAGCAGAGCATTTTAAAATAAAAGTTTAAAAACGTTTAGATAATAAAAAATGTAAAATAATTCAAAAAAGAATTAGAATTTGTTTCACAATTTCACATATGTTAAATAACACTTAGAAATAAAGCTTAAATAGAAACATGTAAAAATGATTGGTAAATTAGAAACACTTACAATTTAATGATAAGTTTATAAACCTCAGGTTGTTTACATATTTTTAATGAGCCCATTAAATCTAGGCTTAATCTCTGTTAAGTTATGAAGATCAGGTTTTTGGAGGTATTGACCACTATGTTGCAAATGGCTAAAATATCCATGATTCATTCTTGCTTACATATCATGCACCAGGCACCATGCTAAACAGAAGAGGATGCACAGGAAGAAAATACTGAAGCCCCAGTCTGTCTGCAGAGGACCTGCAGCCTTATTGTAATAGCTCCTCAAATTTAGTAAGCTTAGAATTACCTGGGTAATTTATTTAAATTTGGAGTCCCAGCCCTAACTCCTAGAGATTCTGATTCCATAGATCTAAAGTGATATCTTAGGACCTATAATTCTAACAAGCTCCCTAAGTGATTCAGATGAAGGTACTCTTTGGAACACACCTTAAACAATGCTGATGTAACTGGAGAGGCCCACAACAAGGAGGAAATTACCATCTTGTGCAGTGATAGTTATGATATGATGGGACCATCACGAAGTGTGAAAGCTTGAAGGAAGAGGACCTCACTGAAGTTTAGAGACAACTGTTAAACCAAGTGCCCAAAAATAAAGAGAAATTAGTTGGGAGTGGGAACCATGAAGTCAGAGTATTTCAGACATAAGGAGATACAGTGAATATCTCCAATAATGAGAGAAATATGATCCTGAGAACAATTAGATCTCAATAGGTGCTGTAGGTGAAGTTTGCAGTGATGAAGCTGGAGAGGTTAGCAGGACATATTAAGCTTTGATATTCTATGCTCAGAGTACAACATAAGCTAGTGGTTGATGATGATTATGTGACTGCATTTGAATTTACATACACATGAACAACTAGATTGCTGTATTTATAAAGGCAGATGAAGAGCAGAGAATAGATTGATGATGTGCAATATGATATTCAGAAAAGTAAGGAGGCTTTCATAGTTATATAGGTGAGAGATGGCAGAAATGTGAAATGAGATATTGTGACAATGGAGAAGCCAGGAAATAAGCAGATCTGAGAGCTATTGATAAAGTAGAACTGACAGAATTTAATGATTGCTTGTATAAGAAAGATGAGGAAGACAAAGGAGCAGAATTTCTCCTTAATCCTTAGGTTGCGTGGGTAGAAGCACTATGGATATTAATAATTAAGAAGTAATGAAGTAATTATTCACTAGAGATAATCATTTCAGCACCTACTGGTAGTAATACAGACTGGAAGCTGGGGCTCTTTGAAAGGGAAAAAGATGCATGATAAATAAATGTACCTCTATTAATATTGGCTTTTACATTTCTAGATGAAACGTAATGTGATGTTTAACTTTTAAAAATCTAAAGGGTTTAAAAATAATATATGAAGGCTGGAATCAGTGGCTCACACCTGTTATCCTAGCACTTTGGGAGGCCGAGGCAGGCAGATCATCTGAGGTCAGGAGTTCAAGACCAGCCAGGGCAACATGGTGAAACCCCTAAAAATACAAAAGTTAGCTGGGTGTGGTACGTGTGCCTGTAATCCCAGCTACGCGGGAGGCTGAGGCAGAAGAATCGCTTGAACCCAGGAGGTGGAGGTTGCAGTGAGCCAAGACTCTGCCACTGCATTCCAGCCCAGACGACAGAGTGAGACTATGTCTCAATATATATGTATATATGAAGAATATTTTTATCTAATGATAAATTATAAAAGCTAATTACCTAACTCAATAATTACACTTATTTCATTAAAACAAACAAATCACTTCAGTAAATGGTGATGTTTCAAGTATTCTTTTCACTTAAAGAGTCAAAAGATATTGACTCATAATTTCTTAGATAGCTAATTTTATGGTGGTAAAGTAGTGAGTGTAACAAGAATTCTACCAGCAGACAGACACCATGGGCCACCTTCCCTGGTTGCAGATCCCAGAAATGTATGACTAGTTTTGACCAATAGACTGAAAGTGCAAATGCCTGTCACTTCTGGGCCAAAGCACAGAACAGCAGCAGTGTAATCTCTAGGTAATCTCTTCCACTACAAATGTTGAGATGGCAAAACCATGGGATAGATGTAGGTGGGTTACTGAGTCACTGCCTGGAGGCTAAATTAAATGCCCTAGAGAGTTGCCTGATTTCCTTAGACTTTGTATGAGTAAGAAATCTATCTTTGCATTGTCTAACCATTGAGATTTTAGCCTTAGTTTGTTATCACAGCCTAGCCTATCCCATCCTGACTAACAGAACAGAAAACTCTATTAATGGAGAAGATAGGAGCATGACGTGTTACAAAAGCCCAGGAGGCAGGCCCTGGATTAATGAATATGTGAATGAAGCATGGAGATAGCTTAAGCCAAATAAATCATGTTTGAATGCCTAGTTGATCACAGCAGATACCTAATTTTATCTAGTGTTAAAAGAAGTGGAAAGAATTAGTGTGGGATCAACTAACTTCTGCTCTTGCTGTGTGTTTCAACCTTCCCTTTCACAATCAGTAATATCGTGACTCATTTATAGCTTTCAAGAATAATACATCTGCACAGAAAGTGCCTCAGGCACAATTTTAATCCCTATAAGTGGATGTGGTTGGATGGGTCTATGATAAGGCTAGTAATGCTCTGCAATTAAAAATTCCCAGATTGTGTGAGAGAAGGCACAAGAAAGTTGTGTCTTTGGAGTTAAAAAAAAAATTGTTTCTCTAGGAGTGTTATTCACTTAAGGCTCGGCTAAAATGTGGTTTTTAAAAGATGGATTAAAAAGGGGAAGAGGGAAAGTTTCTTCAATTCAGATGAAGAGAAAACTTTACTGCACAAAATATGCCTTTTGTATGCAAGGAGGAAAATTGGTTGGGTTATTTCACATAGCTAGAACAAAATAACTCAGCTAAATCTTGAGTGTATACCACTATAGCAAAACTGAAGCATAACTATTTAAATACTATTTGTATTCAGCTAGAATCCCACATCCGTTGTGTTTTGTTATTTAATTATTGCAGTAATATGACTTTTTTAGGTCTTATGAAAAATTAATGGTATAATTCCCTATGAATATTATTAATATTAATGTAATGACTAAGAGTAATACATATCATATAATACTTGCCTCTGGCCTGTTTGATTTATAGTGTCAGTCCCAACTTTGTTATTTAGATGAGAAGTTATATAATTTTTAAAATATTAAAACTGTTTCAATAACCATTTTGTATACAGACTGCATGGTATAAAGTTTTAACAGGATATAAAATGCTTCATTAAGTGTTATCTAACATGTATAGGAACAATCTCTGTGCTAGAATTCTTTTCTTGAGAATCTTATGTTTAATTATAGTTCCAAATGATCAATTTCCATGCTTAATAGAGATTAGGAAGAACATTATGGCCCAACTCTGATGTAGAAGTGAACTTCAGACATAAAAATTTAGAAACCACAAAGAAAAAGTTACAATTGATTAGGGAAATTTTATGACAAATACCTACTTAATCTTAGGGTAACTAAGTATTAGGTATTTAATTCTTTTTCTGAATCTCTATTGCGACTAGAATGGGCATTCTCATCTACTGTGCTCTGAAGAGAAAAAGTCAAAAACACCAACTGAATTGAAACATAAAATGGCTGGGTATAACCAGAATCCTCCAGGGTAAACAAAATTGCCTAATTATGGGTTATATGTATAATATGCTAACCATTTAAAATATCTGTCTGGGTCTTTGGGAAATAAATGCCTAGCAAAATAGCAAGAGTGAACGGAAAGAAATCATTAAGGAACTGTTTGTCACATACCATTTTTATTAGCAAAACCAAAAAGCATCACAGGCAGTACGTAAAGTAATTCTTATTTCATGTAAATCATAAAGTCAAACATCTTTTCTAAGATAATTTTGGCTAGCAGCCTACAGATATGCTTAAATTTAGGGCCTTAGAAGATTGATTTGAGTCTATAAAAATAAAAAGATATAATGGTAGGAAAGAAAGAGAACAAGGAAGTTTTAATAGTAAGTGGTCTGGAAATTGAAAATTAATTTAAAAATTCAGCTGAAATACAGAAAATAGAAATAATGTAGTTCAAATTATGGTCTCCAAGAAAAAATTATAAACCTGTAGACTACTGACTGAGAGTTTTACACCCTGTACTAGCCACAGTTTTCTTTGGAAAATGACAGAATATATTTTGAAAAGTGGAGGAATCACCTCAATTTTGCCCTGCTAAATTCCTAATTCCACAGTTTTTACTTGCAAATCTTGAATTCACTTGACAGAGACTTAATTTGCAACATTTCTGAGTAATATTAAGGAATAACATTATTTTCTGTATAAATTCTAGAGAAGCAAAGTTAATGACTATATCCAAGTACAACTGGGATTGCCACATGGCGGCTGTTAGCATTTGTTTTCTCTATTTTCTCTTGGACCATTGCGCTTATTTGGCATTCACTATTATAAAAAAATATTTAATTGCAGTTAAGAGAAAACACATATCGAGCCAGCCTATTTTTGAAGTAATGGTAGTTGCTTTTCTATGTTATGCATTTATTTTCCTTCTGTTGCCTGTATGGGAATGCAAGAACAAATGTCACAGAGCTTCAGAGCAAAGGTAAACAAATCCTTCAATTGCCCACAGTCTGCCAAGTGTGGAGCATCTGCTATCAGGGGACAGAATCACAGAATGTAGTTAAACAGAAATAGAATATTCAAAACAGGACAGGAGCAGCAGGGCTGGCCTAGTAAAATAGGAAGGAATAGGATATTTGACTGAAATGCTCTTTCATTCCCTTAGGTGACTTTTGCAGTTTGTCATCTTCTAGGATAGCCATGGCCCTCACAAAGTCCTTGGTGAGACACAAGCCTTCATTGCCATTTTCTAGTGAGAATACTCATTTGCAGCATAGTCCATCTAAATATAGCATTATCTTTATTTTCTTCTCTAAAGTGGTGATTGGTACCTTTAGAACAGTGCCTCACAACTTTCAAGGGACATATTGACATTTTAACAAGGATTTTGAGAGCCATGTGATCTTGATTCAGAAGAGACTCACATAGGAGAGGATGATCAGAAAGTTGTTCCCTCTCTGCTCTCTCTCATCTTGAAATTGATCCATCAACTAAGGCTGAAGGATTCTGGAGCTTAGAATGCTGCTCTAAATTTTACTTTATTTCTTCATGTTGTTGTCTGTAGTGGGCACTTGAACATACTGCCCAGATTTGCCTCTTTAGGATGATGTTTATACCACTGGCTACGGGGATGGTTGGCTGCAGAGAACTCATAGCTGAGTATTTTCCAGAAAATGCCCTTGATCTGAAGGGAGCTTCTTCACCCAGTTATATACCCTACCCCACCAAGGTTATACACTTCACCCAAGGGACAACCTGTATCCAGTGACTAGTCTACTGTGGTGGCTCAGAGATCCCACTGCTTCACTAAAGAACAACTCTGAAGGATTGTCTCAGCCCCAGAGCGTTCTGCAGAATTTGCCAAAGGCTCGGTTGCAACTGCACTGCAGGTTAACTTCTCCCTCTGCACCATTCTGCTTTCCTCATTTCAATGCAAGTGTTGTTCCTGAGGGCATGCTCCAATAAAATTACTGCAAGCAAATCTCATGTTAAAGCTTATGACCTAATATATTATACTTTTCTACCTGAATATATGAATTGTGAGGGCAAATATTGTGTTTCATCTTTTTATCCATTAGAACCAGATTTTCCAGTTTCTTCTAGTTGTTCTGCAGTCACGAGTTATGGGTATTTGCAAATCCTTCTTAAGTCTAATGAACAGAACATAACTACTGCTGGCTTACCTGCCTATACCATCAAGTTGCTCAAACCAGGAGAGAGAGGTATTTTCTTCCTTGATTATGCTACTTTTAAATTCCTCTTAGTATATAACTGACTTGGACATGCTTACAGTTTTTCATTTAAATTGTATTATCCATTTGTTCTTACATACCTAAGGATTTTTTTTTTTTTTGGTCTCTTGATGACTGTTTTTATTTAGAATGTAGGTTGAATCTCTATAGATTATCTGCAACTCACTTCACCTATGTACTGTGATTTCGATTGACTTTTCAAAGCACGAGTGTTAAATATGTGGTCATATAGTACCACTTTCCTATGTGTCCTAACAGACATCACTAATTTTATCCTGGCTTCCAGTAACCTCGCTGCATTTTGCAATGGACAGTAGGCTCTAGTGAAAAAGAGTGCTCTGGCTCCTTTGACAGTATGAAATGCTAGCCTAGTCTTGCTCATTTCCTATTCTTCTGTCTAGGATAAAAGCTGTCTGTTTTCATATTGTCTTTAATGCAAGATGGAGGCAGTGACTTCATTCATCCTACATTTAGAATATTACAGAAACTCCTGGACTTTGCTCTTTCATGTGACTTTCCAGATTCAACTTCCAGTATCTTCTTTTGGAGCCATAGTCTAGATTTGTGTTCTACCCCAGGCTGCTGGTCTGGAGCCAACTGGAGGATGAGGGAAGATGTGCCGTAAAGCCAATGAGACATAACCTTCAGGGGCACTTACATGGTGCCTTCCAAAGACCTGAGAAAAGTATTTTTTTTGTGTGAAGTTTCATCAAATTTTTAAATTAAGATGTTTCTAGCCACAATTTGTTAAGTCCTCTGTATCTTTCTACTTCTTTTCCTGCAAAGCACTCTTCCTTTAGTCAGGTGGCATTAGAATGAGCATAGATGTTATTAGAATTGAGCTAATTGAAAGTTGAATTAGGGATACATTTAATTTGCATTCAGTGAAACATATTTATGTGATTTAAAGCCACTTTCGTGTATAATGAAGTTATTGCTAGCTATCCTAATAACAGAACTAGCTTGCAGAGAAACTTCTTCAATTCATCAGATAAACAAAGCTATAATTGGAGTATGTGGTTCTTATCAAACTCTTGCCACAACAGAAATGTATGCAGCAATGTGACATTCATAGTAATAAGCCATAAAGTAGAGATTTTCCAAAATCTTTGCATTTGTAGGGCACACACTGATAACGGTACTACAGAGTATACGTCTGTGTGTGAAGTCACATGTTTTGTGCGTCTCAACCATCAATAATAAAAAATAACTTTATTAGCTCTGAGAGAAAAGATTATCATTATAATGTTTTCATGTAAAATATTTTAAATACTACTGTCACACAAAGAAGGATAGAGCATAGTGTCACAAAAGTAGGAAAAAGCATTATAGAAGTAGGTTAGCAATTAAGTCATAAAATTATTATGATGTTTGCTTTATTTTTCAACATTTTAAAATTTGTAATTCTTTTGTAGTGTCTTATCTCTCATTCTAAGTAGATATTCACCTCTGTATTTAGTTTTGTATTCAAAATATTGTATGTTTTCAATAATAATCTTTCACATCAATGGTATAAACTTTAGGCCCCACAAAATTTGGGTTTCTTCCTGTGAGAAACTCAGAAGCTTCCTTGCACAGCGTGGCTCTGATGATCTGCAGGGATCACAGACCTCTTCCCACATGGGGCCAAAGAAGCCTTTTCTCTTTCTTGTTGGTCCTAAATATGGGTATAGAATTTTAGGGAGGAGATCAAAGATACAGTCTAACTTATTCTCATTTTTCAGGTGAGGAAGTTAAGGTCTAGAGTGATGGTGGCCTTCTTAAGCGTCTAAGTTCTGTCCAGGATACTGACACATGGAGAATTGGTGGGCTGCTGCTGTGGTGACCTAGAAGAACAGATGTGACACCCACATTCTCTAGAGAGTGCCAGTACAGGAAGAGAAAGTTCCCAAACTGTACTTCCATTACTCACCACTGTGCTGAGATGAGGAGCAGAGAAGCAGAAGCAGATCCCTCTGATCAGGGACAGGACTCCTCCAGAATAGGAACTGATAGTTGATTTGTTTTTGTTTTTGCTTTTGTTTTTGAAATGGAGTTTCACTCTTGTTGTCTAGGCTGGAGTGCAATGTCTCAGCTCACTGCAAACTCCGCCTTCCAGGTTCAAGTGATTCCTCTGCCTCAGCCTCCTGCATAGCTGGGCTTACAGGCATGTGCCACCATGCCTGGCCAATTTTTTGTATTTTTAGTAGAGACGGGGTGTCTCTATGTTGGTCAGGCTGGTCTTGAACTCCTGACCTCAGGTGATCTGCCCAACTCAGCCTCCCAAAGTGCTGGAATTACAGGCGTGAGCCACCATGCCTAGCCCTGATATTTTGTTTTATTTATTTATTTTTTTATACCCCAATTTTTTTTTATTAAATTAAGCAGACGAAGCACTCTGTCAAATTGCTCTGTATGTTCCTAAGAAATTCTCAATTTCACTTTTTTTTTTTTTTTTTTTTTTTTTTAATTGTACTTTAGCTTCTGGGGTACATATGCAGATCATGCAGGATTGTTGCATAGGTACATACATGGCAACATGGTTTGTTCTCTCTATTCCCCCGTCACCTGTATCTGGCATTTCTCCCCGTGTTATCCCTCCCCACCATCCCCACCCACCGCTGTCTCTCCCTTAACCCCCGACCAGCAGACCCCAGTGTGTAATGCTCCCCTCCCTGTGTCCATGTGTTCTCATTGTTCAACACCTGCCTATGAGTGAGAACATGTGGTGTTTGGTTTTCTGTTCTTGTGTCAGTTTTCTGAGAATGATGGTTTCCAGATTCATCCATGTCCCTACAAAGGACATGAACTCATTGCTTTTTATGGCTGCATAGTATTCCATGGTGTATATGTGCCACATTTTCCTTGTCCAGTCTACCATTGATGGACATTTGGGTTGGTTCCAGGTCTTTGCTGTTGTAAACAGTGCCTCAATGAACATATGTATGCATGTGTCTTTATAAGGGAATGATTTATAATCCTTTGGGTATATACCCAGTAATGGGATGGCTGGGTCAAATAGAATTTCTTTTTCTAAAGCCTTGAGGAATCACCGCACTGTCTTCCACAATGGTTGAAATAATTTACACTCCCACCAACAGTGTAAAAGTGTTAGTATTTCTACACATCTTCTCAAGCATCTGTTTTCTCCACATTTTTTAATGATCACAATTCTAACTGGTGTGAAATGGTATCTCAATGTGGTTTTGATTTGCATTTCTCTAATGACCAGTGATGATGAGCAATTTTTCCATATGTCTATTAGCCTCATATGTCTTCTTTTGAAGAGTGTCTTTTCATATCCTTTGCACACTTTTGAATAGGTTTGTTTGTTTTTTTCTTGTAAATGTGTTTTAGTTCTTTGTAGATTCTGGATATTAGCCCTTTGTCAGATGGGTAGATTGCAAAAATTTTTTCCCATTCTTCTGGTTGCTGGATCACTCTAACTATTGTTTCTTTTGTTGTACATAAGCTCTGGAGTTTAATTAGATCCCATTTGTCTAGTTTGGCTTTTGTTGACAATGCTATTGGTGTTTTAGTCTAGTTTCTTCTTGGGTTTTTATGGTGTTAGG